CTTCACGCCGGTATATTTCATGAAGCGCATTAGCGCTTCATGATAAATATGCCGGTGTGAAGCGTTGTAGTTCATATACCTCATGCATCTTCAAAAATTAATTCATTTCTTATATCTACATTATTTTTCTGATGACTTGCCATACATTTATACCATGCATTCAACTGTCATTTTTAAATGCAATATTGATACTGTCATATAATTTCAATGACTATGAACATTATATATACATGTAATCAATTGAAACATTGGTCAGCTTTATCATATTGCAACAGTAATTGTTAAGTATACATCAGTGAACGGATACATACATTTATATATATATATATATATATATATATATATATATATATATATATATATATATATATATATATACATGTAAGATGCATTCAATATTGTCTCAGTATTGCCTGGAATAATTACATCATATACACAAGTTTTCGTTTTCATAAGATATTGATACAATAAATATATTATTAGAAACAAAGCCAATTATTTGGAACAGAAATTATTGTCTATATTCCTGCAAGTAAATGTCAAATAAAAATCCACTGCATTTGTCTTTCACAGTTGTTTTTTTAACTTACTAATCTACATAGTATATATATTTATGTTAAATAATTACAGTACAGTAAAACTCAGTTGTTACGAAGCCATTGAGATCAAATTATTTCACTATATTGACAATTCACAATGGGAATCCAAGATGACTTAGATATATCCATGAATTCGCAATATTCCATGTTCATACTAAACAAGTTCTACTGTATAATGCAACAATTTTGACCAATAAAAATACCATTGAGACAACATCCATGTCCATAAAAAAATTCCTTAAAAAATAAAGTAAAAAATCAGATCAATACAAAACAAACTGCATAACCTTTTCAGAAAGGTTGACTAGTACTAGTTAAAATATTTAAAAGCAAATGAACAACTAGGTTATTATGGGTATGATAGAGGTACTATAAAAATAAAATTAGCAAGTACAGTTATATTATTTTTTGAGCTTATATCACAAATTAGAAAACAAATATCACTTAATATGTATCCCTCAGCACAATAAATCTAAAAATTATACAAAGATAAAAATTCTCTCCGATTTCTTAAACACAATGGCTTTCTTCATGTTCTTCATTCCATTGAAAGCATGACATGCATATAGTTGATTCATATACATAAAGCAAAGAGATTTATGCACTTGTAGACACCCAAATTCAATTTGTCATTAGTCATATTATGTATTCACAAATAGCATAAAGAAAGCAGAAAATCAAACATCTTTTTCAATATAATAATCTTGAAGATGTAATATTTATACATGTAATTTAAACATTAATGAAATTGCATCAGGGGACACAAAATTTCAGTGGGAAATAAATACTGAGGGATATACACTTTAAGTAAACAACACCTTATGAGAAAGACTTTCAAAACCACCTGCATCACAAACTTAGTGATGGTACACTCGGTGGTGTACAAACGCACACAGCGAGTCAGGTGGTGGCGCCTGCCCTGCTTCACACACTGGTGAAGGTACACTCGCTGGTGTACAAACGCACACTGGCGAGTCAGACATAGCTATGTTACCCCTCTCTTGGACAGGCAGACTTCACTGAAGAGGCATTGGCTTTAATGCATTAATGAAAAACTAAAATGACCCTTTTCTTTCCTCAATTGTTCCTTCAAATATCTCTAGCCAAAGAAGCATATATTATTTTGTGGTCAGAATAAACGCTTTCTATGACATCAGTGATAATACTGCATGTCACATTTGTGTAAATATGGTCTATCAATGATCCAGAAGAATGTGTTGACTTTGACACAATCTGTTTACAACTGAAAGATTCAGACATGTATGTAGCGAATTCTGGATGTTTCGGGACCGCGACGTTTCGGGACCCCGACGTTTCGGGACCTGACAACACGTTTCGGGACTTGGGTTAACACGTTTCGGGACTTGGGCTAACACGTTTCGGGACTTCTATATATTTTGTTAAGGAAATGAAATAAAACTTGTTTACTTTTGTTTTTATGTTTATATATGTATAATTTCTCAGTTTTATACACAATTTATCATTTAATTAAGAAGCACAGATTGGAATATTAGTTTGCATGCGGCATGGAGCACACCTGCCGAGAAAATCAACCGCCCGCAATGTTGTCTCTACATTTCTTACTACAGCATTTGATATACATGATATATTACCTTTATAAAGTATTTGGTTCGCCAAATTTAATTCAAAAAATATATTTTAGAATTAGGCTATGTATTGATTTATTTATTACCGGCTGCCAGGAGGCGGTCGGTTATTTGATATGAAAGTTTTAAGTCGCTGTGCGTTTCTGCGGAGTTAACAATTTCAATAAAAATTTAACATTCATTTCGCCGGCGAATCAATATTAAACAAAGATTTTCTAAATGTTTAGGAAAAAGCACAATAATCGTAAAATTAAATTTTATAAATAACGGGGTAAATATTTCATCCAATCCTGATTGACAAACTATGACATAATTGAAGTGCGGAGAAAATTAGTGCGAGTGTTAGGCATAGTCTAAAAGAAAGACTGCGTTGCAAATCAACAATTTTACTCTCTCTTTTTAAAACAGGATTTGCTGTATTTATTTAAAATGAAGTGTATATTTAAACATTTCTTATGGATGTTTTTCAATAATATGAAGAAAAAATAGATTTTTTAAAAGCACATAATCTTACGACATTTTGGTCCAGGGGACTAGGATAGAGCGCGTTTTACAATATGCCAAACATTTTCCCGCCACATCTCAACACCAAAACAAAGAGATTGAGTGAAAGAGAAGAAATGAAGTAGTGGATCTAGAAGGAATGGGGGGGGGGGGGGGGTTAACATCCTCTAAGAGAGAGCGAGGAGCCCCATATGTTATATATTTGTTGAGTTTTTATAAAGGTAAAACTATATATAACTAAAACTACTTAAACAGCAAACTTCCACCAGAGTTCGTTAATTTGTACCAGAGTGCAGAGACGCAGAGAACTATGCACAGTTTAATTGCTTATATATGTAATATTGTACATGCATTATGCATGAAGAAAATCGGCATTGTCGCATGCATTTTTTTTCATGTCACGAGGATATTTTATGTTTTTAACAGATAAATATAAGAAGATATATAAGAAATTTTAAAAAACAGATCACACAAATTTCAGTTTCTGAAAGGAACTTCAACAATTACATAAATTGGTTTGCGGCCGATTTTTGACGCTTGCGTCAATATGTTTCTTGTAGTGTTTGATACGAGAGTTTGCAGAATTAAAACCGGGAGACAGTCGTAACTGCTGTGCGAAGACCACGGACGTGTTTTTACTTCCAAGGCTTTCTTTCTCTCCATTTTAATAACAATTTTAAGTGATTTCATATTTGTTTACAGAATTAACAAAGGCTCAAGCTAGCACATGTGCAGTAAAAACTTTACGTTTTACGGGTAGTTATGTTTACTGTGTATACACAGACTACAAATCTCAATGAAACTTAATTATCGATCTTCATATATACCCGACCAGTGCGTAATATTATGTGATGTTACATAATTAGGTACATGACACACTGTTTAAATGATACTGTAAATAAATACTATATATTATTTAATTTGCAAATATTAAATTTTTCATTTTACATGTACGTTGTGAAAGTGTTTAAAAGACATTCCAGATTTTAAAAAAAAATGACTACGTTAACAGGTCAACTTAAATTTTATTTTTTATTAAATTTCCACCTAGCCACATTAAATAGATAAAGCTATGATGAAATTTAGAATATTTTTAAAGACATTATTTCAAACGATATCAAATGAAATCATGTTGTTTATACCATTTAATATTCTTTTTTTAAAAGTATGGTATTTTTTGTGGTATCTACATGTAGGGAAAATATTCTCGCAACATTTGTAAAATATGTTTATTTACAATGTTTTGGAAACTTTAAAAATGTTTTCGTAACATTTCCAGGGAGGAATCTTACAATAGATACTATGCTAAAACTTTTTGAAAAAACAAATATTTGAAACTGTTTGGGAAAAAAAATAGAGAAAATCAATCAAAACATTTTGAAAACCTTTATATTTTATTGAACTTTTGATGATGGGAAAATTATTACTATTATATAAATATTGTTTGATTTGTAATTATTTCATTTACCAATAAACAAATATTTTACCAAATATTTTTTTCCATATTTTTAGATTTTTATTTTCTTAAAATAATTTCAATAGAAACCACACAATCTTTTCAGTCCCCATTACCGGCGGCGTCTTTATACATGTACGTAACACTTCCCTATGGGATATGTGTACCTGGTCCTAGTTGTTGTTTTAACAATTCACTGACATATTTTTAAAGATATATTCGACGGTAGCTGGAGATCACTTGAATATTTTAAAATATATATCATCAACCTGAGAAAATTAAATTTTGGACACCCCCCCCCCCTACTACACACACAAGAAAAAATAACTAATTAAAAAAAAATTGATAAGAAATAAAAAGAAATCAATACAAATATTGTAAAGATTTATTCTTATTCGTCTGTTATGAAAAAAAAAACCCATCAAAGTATATCTTTATGAAAATTTTTATTTTATATATACATAAAAATTAAATATTACGTACTCTGTGTACTAAGAATAATATGCTATATCACCATAATAAAATAATTTGTTGAGATCCCGAAAAAATTTCTTTTTATTAAAGAGAAAACGTATCTATGGCGATTAAATTATAAAAAAAAAATTATTTTATAAAGTTTAATGTCTGTCCATATATTTATCTAATGATACATTGATAAAATAAATAAATTATTTTAGCTAAATGTGTAATTTATTTCAGTATTTATTGAAATCCCGAAAAATTTAACCCAAGTCCCGAAACGTCTTGCCGCAAGTCCCGAACCGTCTTATCGCTAGTCCCGAATCGTCGTGTACCTAGGTCCCGAAACGTCGGGGTCCCGAAACATCTTGCACCCTATGTAGCCACTGAAGAGCCCCCATGAGATAGATCTATATTGAAATCCCCAATAATGATTACATTCTGCTGATTCTTGAGTACTTTTGACAATTTGTTGATAAAGTTGTTTTTTGCCCTTTCAACAGTAGAACTTGGACTTCTATATAGCATAACAACTTGATAATTCTCATTTTTGCACTTTACTTCACTGTACTGCCATTCTAGGTCTTTGTCTGAGTGGCTTACATGATTAATGATTTGACAGTCATTTCTAATGTATGTAATCATGCCTCTATGGGGTCTCCCACATTGCTGATTCATTTCAAAATCCAACCTGAACATGTTGTAATTCTCCAATTCATAATCTTCATTTTCATCTGATGCTGTCAACCATGTTTCAGACACTCCTATGATATGAGACTGTTGAAGATTTGGCTCATTTTTGAAACTTGCAAAGTGGGCATGCAGTGATCTCACATTCTGAAATGCAATGCTTATGGTCTGGTTGCTTGTAGAATCCATGGGCTGATAACATAACTGTAATGTTGCTTCTGTCCGTAGCCTACTCATTTCTTTTTTCACCTTCTCAGATGCACAAATTTTGTTTTCATTTAAACTCAAGATATGAAGTCCTGTAATCTTCTTAACCCTGCTTAGAGCAACATAGTGAATGTGTGGCAATGTAAATTTTGGATTCATATCAAGATTTATTACAGCTTGATCCATTGTGTCTCCCTGAGATTTGTGTACAGTCTTGGCTGCAGAAAGTCGCAATGGAAATTGTATACGTACAACAGTGTGTCTCAGGTACTGAAAGCTTCTTCTCACATCAAATATTGGTGTCCAAGACTTATCTACTCCATGCCCAAACAGATGTCTATACTGATATCTCCATGATTTTCCAGTATTTCTGTCATCAAAAGAAACCCATATTATACTTGGCCTCTCAGTGCTTTCTTGTCTCCTCTCTATGTACTCTACCTTACATGATGTACCATTTGTGAGCCCATCCTCAACACATAAATTTGCAGTGATTTCATACTGGAGACCAAGTGCTATGGGAACATTTTTAGCCAATCCAGCTGTTTTAGATGAGTCATCTGGCAAATTCAAGTGCTGTATTAAATTTTCCCTACCTACTACTGAATCATGAGCTGGTATATTGACCTTTTCACCATCAGCTAGCAGAAACACTTGGTTGTTGTAGGCATTCACACTTTCATTTCTTGTATACAATCGCGGAGCATCTCTTGGATATACAGGTTGTGAGTCATCTATACAGCGCTGTTTCAAAGTTTTTATATCGGCTTCAGTTTGATTTCCTTCTCGTAAACGGTTGAGTAACTCAGCAAAATGAACATCATCTTTCTGCCTCATTATTTCCGTTAGTTCATGCATTGTGAACAATTCCCGCCACAAGTTTGTTGCCAGTGGTCCAAAGTTTTTCTTCAAGTCATCAAAAACCCATCCATCCATCACTGGCTTTAACTGGAAAAGATCCCCAATCAAAATGACATTGATACCTCCAAAGTATTCTTTGCTGCCTTTTATCATCTTCAAACGCTCATGTACACAATTTAATTGTGAATTTCCAACCATAGAAACCTCGTCAATGATGACCGTTGACAAATATGTGTACTTTGTTCTAAGGCTGTTCAAAGATTCACTATCAAGGGGCTTGCAGTTAAATCCCTGACTTGCTGGAATTTTGAATGCTGAATGTATTGTCTGTCCCTTTATATTAAATGCAGCTTTTCCGGTTGGAGCACAAAGTAGAACCTTGCAGTCATCTGGATTTTCCCCTTCAGTAGAGCAATAGTGTCTTGTGAGTGCCTCATACAAAGCTCTTACAACAACAGACTTACCAACTCCTGCACCACCAGTTAGGAAAACTCTTAGTGGTTCTTTTTTGGTTTTAATCCAATGAAGCACATGAGTAAAAAACTCCATTTGCTTTTTGTTTAACTTGCTAACTAGCTGAAAATACATCTCATTTGTCATTTTGTACTGAAGAGTTTGATCATCATTAGTAGAACTACTAGGTAATCCAAGATCTACTCCAATGTCATAGATCTGGTGATTTTCAGGACGCTTTGGGTCAAAATACACAAATTTCTCACTTTCCCTACTGCCTTCATCTAAGTCCTCTTGTTCAGTTTGCTCTGCATTAGGTGCTACTCTATCAAATTGTACATCAACCTCTTCAGCTTGCCTTTGTGCCTCTTCCAGCTCCTCTGCATTGCGTTCATACTTCTTTACTTTAGCACCTATAAAACTCTTCAGTTGGTTGTATTTTTCTTCATATGTTGATTTGTTTCCTTTAATGTCTATTTCTTCCTTTCTCCATGGATGGAAAAGTAAAATCTTTTCTCTATAATGATTTTCAGAATCAACTTTGATGGAGTAGTTGACATAAAGAATGCATTTAGCCTTCCTCCTTTGTCTTATGATGATGCCATTTTTCAAAACTATCCTAATCAGCTCTGAATTGATCTCTTCATCTTCCAAGTCTCTTAATTCTTGTTCATCTTCAGAATCATCATTTTGCTCTAGGAGCTCATCATTTTCTTTGAGTTCTTTTGGATATACAATTTCTAGTTCTGCGGCATAGTCTGCTAAACACCAGTTTTCAAGTTGCCTTGGCCTTTGGGAATAACGCTTGATCACACTGCTTGCATGAATGTCTGTGGAATTCTCTGGCAATTCTTCTAAAGCAGACTTACATTTCAATAGAAGAGTTCTTTCTTCTGGTGGTGAAGTATTTATAAATACAACATCTCTTGAACTTTTTGTTAAAGGCAATTGTAAATTCAAGTATGCAGCTTCTTGTGCACTTATCTCAACTGCATTCAAGAACTTGTTTCCCATGTGGCGAACCTGTTTTTTCAAATCCATATTTCCTTCTCTTGCTTCCTTACATGCTTGGTCAAGCAGATTACTCATTCCACGTTGAGACTTGCTAATGTAGGACACAATGTACATAGCACATGCATATGGGTCTAGGACAAACTGCAAGTCATGATTAGCTCGCCATGCTGTCAAAACATTTTTCATGTAAGGATTTACTCTTATTTCACGTGGGCTTCTCTTCAAAAAAAGTTGTGGTCCATCAAGGGAACTTCTGATCGACTTTATGTAATCTTCTTTCTCCAGGTTCAGTGACTGTAAAAATTCACTAAAAGAAATGTTTTTCCCTTCTTTCATATCTGCTAATTCTTTCTTCACCTTTGTAAAAATTTCTTTGTATGTCAATGCATCTGAATCATCTGCTGATAAAGGTTCCAAGATCAAAGTTGAATCCATAGGAGGCTGAGGAAATCCAAATCGACAAATGTCTTTTCCTTTTTTCCTGCAAGTTCTGGAATGTTTGTGAATTTGTAATTCTACAAAAGGTGCAACTTCATCATCACAATTTGTAGAGCAAGATACATACTGATCTATAAATTTTGCAATGTCAGTAACTGGATCTTCCTTAAATTTTGGAGCATCTTTAATCCACATGAGCATGTGAATGTGAGGTGATCCTCTGTGCTGAAATTCAACACGATAAAAAAAATCTATCAGTTCCCCAACAGGATGATGTTCACTCTTCAAAACTGTATTGATAAACACATGTACTCTGTGATCAAAAAAGCGAACACATGTCACAGGATCTTTTTGCACCAAATCAGTTTTTTCAGCCCATGTCAACCTGTCTACTTCCTCATCCGTAAGTGATTTCTTGAGATTGAGTTGAGCAAGAGTTTTGAGCAACTCAGGCCATCTTGTATCTGCTGCTGATAAAGATGCAAACCAAGTTGGTAATCCCAGTTGTCTAATCATGGCAAACAACTCCTTCTTCTTTGCCTCTAGATAGGGAGGACTGTTACGCAAAGTTCTAAAAATGTAATATCCCTCATCTAATCTTGTTATCTTGTCAGGTACTTCTTGATTGAGAACATCACCAGCTGTTAATTTCTTCTCTGTGCCCTTACATCTTCTTAATACAAGGTTGACTTTATCCGATATCTGCTTCATCTGAATTCTCTTCATTTTGAAAAATAAATTTGGCACACTGTTTGCTGCACGTCTGTCAATGTTTCTTAGTTCCCATTTCACAAGATCACTGTAATGAACTTTAACTTCACGATCATCATTTGATGCCATCCTCTGGCCACAGTAAATAGTTGGAAAAGACAAGAATTCTGCGTCCTTATCAGTGTACAAACTCAGTGGTGTCTGTCCTTCTCCTGGAGCGAATGTATATACCTGATCTTGAACAGGATTTGCATCATCCAGTAATGTGTCGCAGCTGCCAGAATGTCCTTCTCTTTCATCGATTTCCTTAAATGTACTTTCTTCTTTCTCATCTGATGTAACACCAAGATTTGTATTCCTTCCTTCAGATGTACTTGTGTTAAAATATTCGGCAATGATTTCACTGCTATCTGCGGTTATTCTGGCTTCCCAATCTTCATCTACCTGAATCTTTGCATCTTTGTACATTTGGCTATTTCTCATTAACCAGTGTAATGCAATGATTACATGCTTTGGTCTGACATTTTCTACAAAATCACAAGTTTTGTAACTTAGTCTTCTCTTTAATCGGACTGGCACTGTTATGTCATTGTTAAACTGTCTTGGTAAGGAGTTTACAGTTGGTTGTATATCTACTGGAACATTAACAACATTTCCTTTGATAGATAACTGTCTTCCTCTGGGCAACTCTCTTAGCTGCATAAATGGAATTCGTAAAGCTATGAGGCGTTCTTCTAACTGATGAAGTTCAAGTTCTTCTGGTTTGGTAGGAAATTGTACATGGTTTGCTAATGACAACTTTGGCATTTTCTTTTCTTGTATTGTTTTCTTACACGTTAAACATATCCACTCTTTTCCTTCAACTGAGATATATTTGGTGAGAAATTTTGCAACATCTTCAGATGGTAAAGTTTTTCTAAGAAAGCTGCTATCAACAACTGAATGAGAAAACCAGGTCTGGTTACAGCAAGTACATACATATAATGGCCCTTCTTCTATTCTTTTGTTAAACACTGATATTGTTTCTGTCAGTGTTGTTCCGTACTTTCTCCGTTTTCTTGAAATCATTTCTGTCCTACAAAAATGTGGATCTTTTCTTTTTAGGGCTTTAGCACTCTTTTCTCTAGTTTGTTCAATCTCACGATAATCAAAACTTTTTCTTTTCACAGATTTTCTAATGCGTTCCAATTCAGAAAATGCAGAATCTTCCCTACATTTCCGTTTTCTTCTGACATCTCTGTCACGTTCTTTATTCATTACATCTATATTGGCTCTTTCTTTTTGTTTAGCAATTCTCTCTTTTTCTTTCTCAGAAAGTCTAAATATTGGGTCATTTCTCTTGCTTTGCCTTGCACTTTTGTCCCTTTCTTTCTCAATGTTCCTCGACTCTTTCTCTAAGCGTTTCGCTTGTCTTGCTGTTTTGTCCCTTTCTTTCTCAATGTTCCTTGACTCTTTCTCTAAGCGTTTCGCTTGTCTTGCTGTTTTGTCCCTTTCTTTCTCAATGTTCCTCGACTCTTTCTCTAAGCGTTTTGCTCGTCTTGCCGTTTTGTCTCTTTCTTTCTCAATGTTTCTTGCGTCTTTGTCTAACCGTTTTGCTCGTCTTGCTGTTTTGTCCCTTTCTTTCTCGATGTTTCTTGTGTCTTTGTCTAACCGTTTTACTTGTCTTGCTGTTTTGTCCCTTTCTTTCTCAGTGTTTCTCATGTCTTTGACTTGTCGTTTCAATTGTCTTCCTGTTCTTTCCCTTGCTTTCTCAATGTTTCTCTTTTTTATGTCTGATCTATTTTTTTGCTTTGCTATTTTGTCTCTTACTTTCTCAACTTTCCTAGCATGTTCTAATTTTCTCCAGTTTTTCATGTAATTTTTAATGTAATCTTTTCTAGAACACTTGATCTTTCCTTCCTCTTTTCTTTTGACAACATCTTTCTGTCTACGTTCTTGATCTTGAAAATATTGGTCAAGAAGGACATCACCTTTTTTAAATCCTGCTATTATATCAGATGAACTTTCCCCTATTACTTGTATGACATCTCTACCTAATTCAATGATATTTACCGGAGTTAGTTCAAACTGAGAGTTCTGATCAATAGAAAGAGAAAACGCCAACAGTGAACAATGTTGCGCCACACCTTCCAATGTCTCTATTCCAATCAACGTACTTTTTCCATTGGCATCCAGTAATCCTTTCTGATCTCTTGCATGGGAATCAAAAAGAAAGTATCGGTTTCCAACTTTGATCACAGAAAAAGTGTTCCCACCAAAGCAAACAAAAGAACATTCAGCAATTTCAAATGACCTTTGCAATGCCTCTAAAATGGACATGCCAAATGATTCACCATCAATTCTTAATCTTTTATCATTTCCCATTAGACCAACTTGTGATTCAAAAGTTTGCACAGAAAAGCATTTTTCATAAACTTCTATCTCACTTGGTAGTTCATTTATTAATAAATATTCGTTTTGCACAGTTGAACTTGCTTGCAGATAACCATATAATTCATTCCCAGTAATCAAAATTCTGTCAATATCTGAGGACAACCAAGAATTTGGATTTTTTACCTTGGAAAAAATTATGCTTGATAATGCATTAGCCACGCACTGTTTACCACTTGTAATTCCAAACAGATCAGTCCAGCCCTGATGATAGTTTCCTTGAACAGATAAAAACATTCCAGTTCCAATATCCCTACCCGATTTATCTCTTTCTCTTATTTCTTTAACATCCCCTAGTTGAATATTCCCTCTCTGGGGGTATGACTCCTGACTTCTATCACCATGAAATTCCTGTTCTTTTCTGTTTTCATTCATTTCCTTTTCTTTGTTTTCCAGTTTTTCATTTTTGTTCTCATGTATTTCTTTCTCATTTTTGTTTTGTATATTTTCCTCATTTTGAATCTTGCACCTTTTCTGATTTGTCTTACTAACTGCATCACCCACTTCTGACAGTGATGGTACACTCGCTGGTGTACAAACGCATCGCGGCGAGTCAGTTAGTGGCGTCTGCCCTGCTTCACACACTGGTGAAGGTACACTCGCTGGTGTACAAACGCACGCTGGCGAGTCAGACATAGCTATGTTACCCCTCTCAGGGATAGGCAGACTTCCTTGAAGAGGTACCAACTTCAAGGCATTTAAAGGATCAGCACCTGAAACAGAATCCTTACCATCCTTTGAGGGAGTCTCTGCTACCCATCTGTTGTGAACTTTATCTCTGGCTCTTTGAGATGCTTTTCCCTTTCTTGGCATCTAAGAAATTTGTAAACAATAGTGAACAACAAAACCTAAACCAATCCTCGCAACATCAGGGGTCCCAAGTCAATGTTCCTGCTCCTCTCATTGAGAAAAACCAATCATATATATGTTTTGGCTTTTAAAAGTTGACATAAAATGCAAACAGAAAATTCCAAGTTTAATTATTATTATTATGTGAAGTGAATTTAGAACTATAGGTACAGCGAGCAAGCAAACAAATAATAATTCCCCTGCATTTTTTTATTGAACATTCAAAAATTTTGTAAAATAACCTTGAATTAAAAAAAAGACACATTCTAGTTGAAAGCAATCTTTTAATGAAACATGGACACCCAGTGTTTCTCCACTGAAAATTATAGACCAGTTATGAATTTTACACTTTTTAAAACAATGACCTTGAACTTACCAGAATGCCCTTGAGTCAAGGTCACAACCTCAAGTCCTCAACAATCTTTGTACCAAGTATAAGCATCCAATAAATTGCCATTTTTGGCAAAAGTTATAGCCTACATAGAGTTTTGAAATCTTTCGCCCTTTCAATGACCTTGAACTTGACTGAAACACTTTCAGAAAGGACCTGACACATACACAAATCAGAAACATTTTTGTATTAAGTATAAACTTTCTAATACCCTAGATGTATGTGTCTTGAATTTGGATCAAGGTCGACACACCTTCTAGTTAAAACAATCTCTGTACCAATTATGAACTTCCAATGATTCGCTATTACAAAGTTATATCAGAGACAAGAATTTTATACTTTGAATTTGCAGTAATGACCTTGAATCAATGTCATGACACATTCAGGTGATAAGCAATCTCTGTACCAAGTATGATCAGAAAGTTGTATTATAGACACCTGATAGCTATTAATCTTTTAATCTTAAGAGTATCTTAGAAAATTGATAGGCCTTAACTTTAAAAACAATTCAGATAATCTATGAAAGAAAGAATTTAAAATACTTAAAACAAGTTGTGTTGTGAAACAATTGTTTGCACCCAAAGGACGGTCTTGTGAAAAGGAATGCAACTTTGAAATATGAAAGCCCTATTTCTAACTGTTCAAAAGTTATGACCAAAGTTAAAGTTTTCTTTTTAAAAAATGGGTCAAACTCTTGGGTCAAGGTCAAAAATATTTATACCAGCTGAAAGGTCTTGTCACAATGAATACATATGTGAAGTATGAAAGCCCTGGCTCAAACTGTTCAAAAGTCATGGCCAAGGTTAAAGTGTGGTATTTTTTGTAAAAGTAGGTCAAACTCCAAGGTCAAATTTTGTGGTACCCAAAGAAAGGTCTTGTCACAAGGAATACAACTGTGAAATATGAAAGCCATTGCTCCACCCACTCAATAGTTATGGGCTAGGTTATAGTTGACAACACACAGACAAACAGACAGGACAAAATAATACATCCCCTGGATCTTTTGATCCAGGGACATATAAAATGGTTTCAATGGGTTGGTCGGAGTACATCAAACAAATAATTTTTTATCAGTGGCCTTATGGCCATGAGTAGGCTCAGGATCCTTGATGTTGTGAGGATAACAAAACATCACAATATTCAATCATATTCACCATAATCAAACAAACTCAGTTCTAGCAATATATAGTATGTAATTAAAATCTCCTTGTTGATAAACGACAGATTTAAAATACTTTATTACACTTTATTCATCTTCACTATCTCCCTCTCTCTCTCCCTATATATATATTAAACACTCTTTTGTGTTAAATATGCATTAAGTTGATTAGGCAAAAAAAAAAATAGTCTTGTTTCCTACTACCCAACCTACTTTATTTTTTGGCACCCGAACTTAAAGGGTTTTTTTTTTAGTTTTGGGGCAGAAATTTGAAAAATTTTCGAAAATTCATGTTCCAAAACTGAAAAAATATATATACATATATAGATTTAAGTGGTACATGTATTTTATAAAGTTCTATGTTTCAAATATTGACTTTCATAAAATACAACTTCAGTTGTGCATCAAAAGACATGGAATTTAATTTTAAAAGGCAATATTGACATGTTTAATTTAATCTTGTATTAGTTCATATCCAAAAAAACACTGTCAGAAAAAATAAAAGTGTAAACAAGCAAATTCAAGGAATTGTGGTCCCCTGCTTTCAGTGTCTTTGTGGGTGAGATGTCAATTTTTATGACATATTGTGTGTAATATGAACACCCTTTCATATGTCATTTAGTTAGAAATCATCACTGAACTCCAAGGTCAAGGTCAAAGTTCTTGGTATCAGGGGATGAAACATCACATTGCCCAACGCCCGGGGCTAGTGGATTTTAGGGGTGGGCAAGACAAGTGAAATTTTATCAACCACTTGCCTGTGTACAAGTGATTTATCAAAAATAGAATTTATTTGTAGGCCATAAATTTAAAGCAGGGCATAGGGGCTTGTATGATTTACTCAGCATTTGTCTTCCTCTTTTTTTGAAAAAATATCTATAAATACAGAATTAGTTTATGGTAGGGCAAGCAGAAATTCAGGTAGGGCAAGTCAATTTTGACCATGTACTTGCCCTTGGACTAGTTCCTAAAAAATCTATTTGTCAGCCCCTGGGTATCCAATGAAAAGTCTTCTCACAAGGATTACATATGTGAAGTTATGAAAGCCCCTAGCCCTTACCATTCAAAAGTTATGGTCAAGATTAATGTTTTTTTCATAAGTACGAAAAATCTCCAAGGTCAAGAGGTCAAAGTTGTTGGTATCCAATAAAAGGTCTTGCTACAAAAAATACATATGTGAACAAGAGATGTTTTGTAAAACACTTACAGTATGCCCCCCCCCCTCCCCCAAATTGGAATTTTTCTAAATCCAAAAGGGCACAACTTGGTCAAAAATAGTGTTGTCAAATCGGTTGAAAATCAGAATCGATTAATCAGTAGCATCGATTGACCCTAACCAACTGATCATCGGCCAATAATCGAATTGGTAACCCTTCACATAAAATAGGCATTATATTTCATATAAAATTTAGAATTTTATTTTTAAATAATGTACATGTAAGTATAGAGGTGCATTGTACAGATCGAAATTCTAAAAACAGTATATATGCAGTTGATTAACAATATCAGTAATACAGATTTTTGAATGATTAGGATTTACTTGGCCTGGAAAACATAAGCATTGACAGATCAGGTTTTAATTTACATGATCATCTAAAATATACTAGTATATGGAATTAATTTTTTAAACTATTAAAAGACATTTAATATTGCAAATCCTTGTGATTCCACATGAAATGAAAAGTGAATTCCCCAAAATACTGAAAACTGATATATTTCATTTATAAAAGTAGTTTAGTTTCTTCAGTTTAGAAATACAATTATCATTATTTGCGATTTATCTAAACAGATTTTAAGTATACATGTATTTTAAAATAGGTAATAAATGACAACACTTCGAAGATATATATTTTGATAACAAGAGCCTGTTCTTGAAATAAAAGTGAGAAAACTATTAAAAAAAAAAAGATATGTGCAGAAATATACTGATTAATCGATTGTTAAAATCTCCAATCGATTGTCTAAAATCGACAGCCTTGCCCGATCATCGATTTTAAATCGATCATCGTGACAACACTAGTCAAAAATGGTGCAATTGTACCCAAAACAGAACTTGAACTAGATATTCATGTAATATATCAGTATACCAAATTTCATTTCAGTATGTGCAACAGTTGTGAAGATAAAGTGCCCCGCCACAGCATGATACGCCCGTCAAATATATATTGTTCAATAATCATAAATTGGTTAAGGTGCAAGAAAATCAGATAACCTTGATTAACAGATTGACACAGATTTCAATGATCTAATTTCCATTTCTTATCATGTTTAAAATATTGTACATACATCTCTAAGAGACTTACAGTGTAGGAATTAATTATAACAAATAATACATCATATAATTCTAAACTGGCTGTGTTAGAACTTAACAAATATCCATCTGCAGCTTAAATTGTTTATTGCATATTTAATTGAATAATGGAAATGCTACAGTCTAATAAAAAAAACCCAAAAATAAATTATTCTTTAGACTATAAAATTCTAAGTGAGGCATGGTGACTGCAATTTGTTGCAAATATATAAAAATTGAAATTTACCTCGGCAATTTTATTTCAATGAACACATGTATAATTAGTTATCATTATATTATACAATACTAATTTAGTTTTAATCATACATTAAACATCAATTTGTTTTAATTACATTACACCAATTGAAAGATCTTTTTTCTGAACTAGCCATCAAGAACTCTTAATGAACACAAGCAACTATGAGGCCATTTCTTTTTGCCCAACTCCCAAGAGATTAAAGATAAAGATAACAGCTGCATTTTCAGAGATCTGCTCTTCCACTTAGGGCCTGACAATAAACTCATTAATTTCTCTCTATTTCTGTTATCAAAATTCTTCTTGACCAGTCCTCTCAAAACATTAACATTTGTTACAGATTGCTGTAAAGCATATAATGAAAAAATAAGTTTTTACTTGATTTAACATTTTTAAACAAGGATACAACTATATTTTTGCATTTTTTAGGATTATGAAATTTAAAATTTTAAAGACTTAGTTTGTTAAAAAAAATCACTTAAATTAAAGGTCACAGTGACCTTGAAATAGGCCGCGACACACCTTCTACCCAAGATGCGTAAACTGGCCAAGTTTGATGACTCTGAGTCTAATAGTTTTCTAGTTATGGGCCGGAATGGATTTTTCCATATTTGGCTATAACTACTTAATTAAAGGTCAGAGCGACCTACTTTTTGTGCGCGACACACCTTCTACCCAAGACGCATCAGATGACAAAGTTTGATAATCCTAGGCCTAATAGTATTAAAGTTATGAGACGGAAACGAAAAAGCTAACAGACGGACAGACGGACGGACACGAAGCCTATAACATAATACGTCCCGTCTGAAGACAGGCGTATAAAAATGAACGAAACTGCACATAATTGAAAATTTTCTAAGTCCAAGGGACATAACTCTGTCAAAAATGGGGTGATTGTACCCAAAACAGAACTTGACCTAGATATTCATGTAATATATCAGTATACCAAATTTCATTTCAGTATGTGCAACAGTTGAAAAGAAAATGAACGAAACTGCAAATAATTGAAAATTTTCTAAGTCCAAGGGACATAACTCTGTCAAAAATGGGGTGATTGTACCCAAAACAGAACTTGACCTAGATATTCATGTAATATATCAGTATACCAAATTTCATTTCAGTATGTGCAACGGTTGCGAAGAAAATGAACAGAAACTAAGTGGACCGACAGACCGACTGACAGACAGCAGCAAATCAATATGCCCTGCTTTCTTCGAAGGGGGGCATAAATATGAAAGTCCTAGTAAGAACCATTCAAAAGTTATGGCCAAAGTAAAAGTTTGGAATTTTTGTGTAAAAGTGGGTCAAAATCCAAGGTCAAAAGGTCAAAGAATGACTCTTCATAACATTGCGAACTGGCCCCTTTTTAAACACGGATTTTTGCCTTTTCAAATCAGAACATTGACATATTTCATCTAAAATGTACAAGTATGGTATGAATACAAACACTTCAAAATCTTTTTTGGTAGAAAGACTCTCAATATATACATAATATCAATGAAATAAAATTGCAGACATCAGTGTCAAATCTCAACTTGCCATTGCGGCTATGTAGGTCATTGTATTATTTGAATAAGGAGGCGGATCGTCAATCAAGCGTGCGAATAGTGTGAATATATTATCGAGTGTTCGACGTGTACTTAATATAGTTTTTAAGTGATATCTTATTAAATAACTAAACAATCTTAAAAATCCCTCACCTTTTCTTCGGGCTTGGGACCGACCATAATATTATGTAATAATATTGGCAGGTTTAGGTTTTGTTTTTACTGCTTAGCTTTAAAACGAGTATATCAATGAAACAATTATTTTTGAAATTCGTTGAAATAAAATGTAAACACAATGATATGGTGTCTGTAAACATAATGTCTTACAAAAGATAATATTTTTAAGACTAGGAAAATATTTTTAAGATTTTACAGTAACCTAGCTTATTTCTCAAGGGATAATTATTTTAATTCTAAAGCGATAATAATTCTATTAAAGTTTTTTACACGTCGAATTGATTATCAATTATAGCATATAATTTTGCAAAAAAAAAAAAAAAAAAAAAAACTGAGTGTTCCAACAAATATATGTATGCGGTTGAATATTGATAGAAAGCCAGTATAATGTTGATCTTTAATTATGCGTTCATTGGACAAGTGAGAGGGGCATACACGTGCTTTTTCGTGCAATATAACATTATGTTTAAGAAATACCTGTCCGCAGGCTTTCTTAGAAACAGTTTTCATTGACTTTTTACGGGATCTGGAAATAGCACAATATTTGTTTGACTTTGTGCCGATGTAAAATGTTTTCGCGTCAACACTGCCCCCATAAGTCTGAAGCTTCCCCCTATTCATATCGATGGTACATTTTGTGCAGATGTGGTCATCCCCCTTGACCTTTCCTCCCGTAATCAGTCCTCCGTACTTCGTTTATCTTTCCCTTGAAGGTTCTTCGATTAGATTTATTTGTGCGCTTTTTACAAACAACACAGTTTATACTTTTAGGCATGGTGAATACTAGTTAGTGTTTTCCGATTATGACAGTGTATATGACGGTTTTTACAGAAAAAAGGACTACAGTGTATAACTTTTATTAAAACATTGCTGTGATGTCATGCCTTTGTTCTTGCAGTGTAAAAATTTACCTGTAGCCGTCCGATAATAATAATTACCAGTCTGATAATATATTATCGGACGGCAATGATAACAAAATCGGACGGTATTTAAAAACCAAAAGAAGAGTGGAATAAACTAAATATGTCTACCCTCCTAACCCCCACCCCCCAACCCCCCCCAAAAATTGGAAAAAAAATCAGGGAAAGCAATCGCAAGGAAATTTAGTTGCTACAAAATAGCAAATCCATGAAAAAATCGAGTTTAAACCATCCTCAAAATTAATACTTCCCATCTTAAAAGTGTTTTTGATACAGCACTTTGAATAAGCGAATTTAAATCCATTTCTGAGAAATAATCGGCAAATCTATTTATTTTATAAGGATGTTTCCAAATGGCTGCACTTGTAAAACCTGAGAATTTCCATTATATAAACTAAAACTCCAGGATGAAAGTCCGCATTTTTACTTTCCATGGTGACTGTAATAATTCCACCAAAAAAAAAAAATCTGTATCAGGTCAATTTATGCACAAAATAATAAAAATGTTCCAAAATAAAAAGGAAATCCTTCCCCACCGGACCCCTGTCTTGCTTATCTAAACGACTGCCATTGAATGAATGAAATGAAACAAGAGTTCACCCACTGTTTTTACTGTCTCTTTTCTTTTGTCTACTTATTAGACGGGTAAAAAACAATTGATGCCTAAACTCCCATTGTGTTATTATCGGACTCCTCCAGGTAACTTTTGGACATTTAAAAGGCAATGTTTTAAGTAAGATATATGCCTCATACTATTCTATATGTAAAATTATCAGACAGTTTTCGGCCCTAACGGGCCTCAAACAGTCTGATAATTTTACATATAGAACAGTATTCGGCATATATCCATTACATATCTTCCAGCAGTTAAAGGGAGAGTTTGCTTGAAACAGACGCACGTGTGTAATATATAAACACAGTAAAAAGCAGAATCAACGATACATAAAGATAATTTTTAAATATGTTTTTACAAATCTTTGCAGTGATTAACTAACAGATGTAGGCTATAGCCCCCCCCCAAAGTAGATCTATAGATACTAACCGAAAGAAAAAAAAAACAAACGGAAAATGGCAAAAATAACGTTCAATAACAGGTAAATAAAACAATTCAACCTTGCATATAAATAAATCAAGTATGCACTCCTCCAAAATACAAGTATTTTCAAATAGAAGGGTTGTCCAAGTATTTTTAGCCGATGGAATAAGATTTGACAATTGATAGCTCGCAGACACTCTAGACACGATGTCGAAATGATGTGCTCAAGGCGTGAAAGTGAATAGATTTAAATCACGTGTTCAATGCATTGTTATTCATGAGGTCAAAGACGGGTTGAAATTTGTAAACAAGGTAGCTTTACTATAGAGACAAGTACCCGTGATTTTGAGGTTTTTGAGAAAATAACACACGAGCGCACGATTGTTTCAATTTCTTTCATGGATGTAAATGATTAGTATTACTTTTTACGTTGTCCATAAAAACGGCAAATTGAAACATCAATGCGCTCATATAAAAAATGGGCTTACAAAATGGGGGTGTGGCCTAAAGTCTATGAGAAATTGATGTAAACAATGTACCCCTGCTATATTAATCATAAAAATACCGAATTACAGTTTCTGAAAGCAAATTTTTAAATTGAAATTAATAAACTACAATGTTTAATGGAAAGTCTGGGGCAAAATTATGTAGAAAATCTGAAAGTTATTTTTTTGTAAATATTTGGGGGGCCAAATGTGGACGTTTAAACGATTCATTCTTTGGTGGTACTCAAAGAAAAATCTTGTCACAAGGAACACACATATGAAATCATAGCTCCACTAAATCAAAAGATATGGGCAAGGTTCAAGTTTTTGTGATAGACGGACAGCTAGACAGACTGACGGACAGACGAATGAAATTTAATGTCCCCTCGCTTTTGCAAAAGCAGGGGACAAAAATAATTTTCCTACCTACCTACCCCAGGCTTGTAACAGAAAACCAGACTATTATTATTTTTTTTTTTGGCCTTACCTTCTATATATTTTTTTTTATACATTAACAAACAATAATTACAAGCATTTAAAACAAAGGATTTTAACTGGATTTAATGCGATTAATATTCCTTAAAAGCAATAGGCTACAGGTTCTTCAGATTACATGTATTACCTGAGATGCCTGAATATTAATTAACAATTTAGTCTATGCGAAAGACATTGAACCGTGGGACTTGACCGATATGCAGTGCCTGAGTCTCTGGTCTGATTTGTCGTTTTTTACACCAGACCAGATTGTCTCAGTGTCCGGTTTTGAGTTTTACTTTTCTGAAGCAGAGTTACTGGTATTGAAAAAATTATTATAAGTAACAAGAGGTTTTTGTGAAACACTATGCACAAAAAAGTTTGAAATTTAGAATATAAGTCACAGTCAAGGTAACAAGGTCATTTACCTTGGTGTCATTTGACAGAACTTAATTAGTGGAGTATGCATACCAAATATGAAGTCTCTATCTCTGTTATGGTTTAAAAATTAAGGTAAAGGTTCGAAAAAGCTATTTTTAGCATATTGGTCAAGTCAATATTATGTGGGAGTGATCCTTGGTAATTATCAATTGTATTATTAATATAATAAATAAAATTTTCTTGATTCTAAAACTTTGTCTAATGCAGGAAAGTAAGATACCAAAGAAACTTACAATGGCAAACAATAGTCGGTTATCTCCTGCTGCTGATCGCTAGACGGCAGCAGTGTTCCCGGTCCAGCATCATTTGTTTACATCAAGCAGCGATGGCGTGTTCAAGCACAAAGTATGCAAATATGACCATCAAAGACCTTAAAGATGAATTAAAAAAAAGAAATGCGCGACTTTCTGGTCGTAAAAAAGAATTAGTTGAAAGGTATATATATATGAATAGTTATTATGATTCCCCGATCGGTAAATTAACGGCATTTTGTATCGAGTAATAAAGAGGTCAATACACATGTACATAAATATATGTACAAGATGCTTTATGATGAAATTTTAGTAAGTTTAGGGGAAAGTTATCAATGTTTTTAGAACTTTAAGGAAATATAATGTTTTTTTTTCAAGACTACTTATAAACTGCGTCTAAAAACACGTGTATGCATATTAATATATCGGTGTTGACGGTGCAGTGTGTACACACGCATGTTATGTTATACAATGGTAAACACGGCCGTTCTGTCAAAAACAAACGAATAGAGAAATACTTAAGTTGATCATTTTACCTTTGTTTTAGACTAATTGCCTATGATAGAAACCAGAATTTTGGACAAACAGAAGATTTAGAGCCCGAATATAAGATGACCTTACCTGACCCATTATCGTACTTTGATGTAAATGCCGACTCTACGTTTTCTGGTACTACACTTGAGAAACTGACAAGTTACCTGGCCAAATTTGATAAGCAATTGGACAATAAAGTAAAGCGGTTATATAATGAACGAACAATTCGGTATTTCAAAATATCCTATGATAATGATTTAACTTACGTTGCCTCTAGTTGCTATGCTGAGTACAGGAAAGGAATTTCATACGAGATTGATTTGTTACTTGACAAAAATGGGTCTATAGTTGAGGCCCAGTGCGAGTGTCCTGCAGGGGAGGGACCTAGTGCTCACTGCAAGCATGTATGCGCTGTGATATATGCCTCTATCATGTTCAGAGTTCAGAAACATAAAGGTTGAAGAGACATGTACACAAAAACTGCAGAGTTTTCACAAGTGCAAGAGGTTCCTCGGTAGTCCAATAAAGTCACAAAACATCAGCATGCCAGGTGCAGACGAGTTTACCAATATGGACTTTGATCCAAGACCAGATCACCTTAGAAATGCTCCCAGCTACAATGACTATTTTAGAAACCTTTGTTTAAATTTTTCAGGCATATCCAATATGCCTATATTTCAGCTCTTTGAACCTGCTAATGCGTATGCTGTTGCACATGACCATGATTATTTGAAGCTTACACCTCAAGATAACTTTCTTGAAAGAATTGGCCTACTTAATATTACCCAGGAAAGAATTAATGCTATAGAAGAAAGAACTAGGGGTCAGGCAAATAACTCGACATGGAAAAATGAAAGAACATTGCGGTTACCATCATCAATGTATGGAAGAATTTGCAAAGCTACGGAGCGCACGGATATGATAAAGCTGGCCAATTCTTTAACAGTTGTGTCAGAGATTAAAGCAGCCCCTTTGGAACATGGTAGAAGACACGAGAATACTGCTTTACAGAGATACATGGAAGATACTGGACTCAAAGTCAATCCTTGTGGACTTTTTGTGTCATTTGATTTCCCACACTTATCTTCGTCGCCAGATGGGATTGTTTCAAATAATTTAATTGTTGAAGTGAAGTGTCCCTATACATCTAGAGATAAACCAATTAATGTTAAAACTGTGCCATATCTTAAGAATGATGAAAATGAAACATACTTCTTGGATGATAAACATGACTACTTTTATCAAATTCAGGGCCAAATGCTATGTACTGGAGCAAAAGAATGTACACTCATTGTCTGTCATGCTGACAATTTGAAAATCAATGACATAAAATATGTATCAGTTTCCAGAGATGAAGCTTTTATTTTGGACATGATTGACAAGTTAAACAACTTCTATTATGTGTATTTCAAACCTGCATTACTTGACAAACATTTTTACAGACCATTCAATAAGTAAACTTATTACATATATTAAACTGCTATCTGAATTTGTGATTTTTTAAATTATACAAAACATTGCTTCTCAAGATGTTATGAGCAAAATGTATTATAGTATTTGAAAACTTGACAACATAATGCACTATGCCTTTAAGCATCCCTAGGAATGATGCATGTTCTAAAATTACACAACATGTAACAACAAAAAGTGATATGAGAGGATATTTTTGTCTCTGTGCTATTCAATGGAATAGTAAGAATTTTATAAGTTTTTCCTAGACCAATTATTCTTTCGATGTGTACCCTTTTACTAGAAATCTTCCTATCTCTAAGAAGAATTTTTCCACTCATTCTATTTCTTTTTCTGAAAAAGGTTGGAATATTGACAGTGACATCCATCCGTGCAAAAAGATCCTGAACATTAAATCCCTTATCCGCCATTACACTGTCTTTAGGATCACATAGGTTCACTAGCTTACTTCTCTCTACAATCTGCCTATCACTTGTACTACCTCCATAAGCATTTGATATAAAACTAACTAATCCACCTGGTGTTGAGCCAACAAGTATCTTAATAGTGTTTCGATTCTTGTATAGTGAGAATGTAGCCTGCTGTGCCCTTGGAGCCTTAGGCTTTTTGATAGGACATTCTGTGCCATCAACAATAATTCTAGTGGTAGGAAATTTTGCTTTAAAATCAGACGGAGCAAAGTATTTGACTAAACTACGAGATGCCCAAATATTAACTTCTTACCATTGCTTAGACATGAAAATTATCCATGTGTAGACAATATTTTTAACAGTTGACTCAGACACTGAAAAAAATCTGGACAATTCAAAATTGGTTAAATAACGCCTAAGTTTCATCAAAGTCATGAAAAACTGATTTTCAACAGAAACAGTTTGATTGTCGACTTGAAAAAAAATGTATTTCAAACAATAAGCAGATGGACCTAATGTCCTAAGAACAAATATAAACTTACAATAAGTTTCTAGACCAGTGTAAAAGTGCATCCCTACATTGTCATTCACAAAATTTTCCACATCAAACATTGGTTTATTTTGGGTTTGGGTTGCTTTCCCAAAAGACTCTTGCTTAGACATAATATCACTTTCCCTATCTTCACAAATATTTACTTCAGAAACAACTTCTTCTTGTATTTCTATATTTGCATCATCATCTTTATTAAAGCATTCTTCCAAGTTTTTCCTACAACTGTTTTCAACCTTGGATCTCGCTCTCTCTCGTTCAGCAAATCTTTCTTTTCTGTTAGACGAAGATTCTGACTCTGGGTTTGTCCAGGGGAAAATGCTGGGCACAGCTGATAATCGCAGTCTTCTTATTGATGGTTTTTTCCCTAAAAAATGCAGTATCAAAGCATTAAGAAAACATGATACGATAAAGTGTGTGACAACATATACAATCAATTTTAATCATAGTATATTATGTCTCTGGTATGACTGTCTTTGAAGACAATATTGTTTATTATAATGAATATGCAATGCCTACATTACCGTCATTACGACCTTTAAGTTTATATATATTTTTTTAATTACACAAAAACATATCAGATAATTAAAATGCGTGAATCAACAAACATCAGCTGATTTTACTTCATTTTAATAATATTTTATAGCGCTATTACTAGGCTAGTGCCGTGTTGAGCACATACCAGCTGCATACGTAATATACCCCTGATTACCCTGTAATTAAGTCGTCTTATTTAAATATTCGACACTTTCATTCTTTTAAAGCAGTATAATGCGCTCTTTACCGTATATCGTCTCCTGCACATAGTCGTTAGCAGTAAAGTGTTCCTTACACACGACTGCTGTCTTCGATGGGACCCATGTTTTCATCGTATGCTGATCCAATCGCCTCACAGCATTAATCCATAATTTCCGACGATCTGGATTTGAAGGGAATTCATGTCCTCCCCTAACATGACAACCAGGAACTGAGCAGCAAGTTCCAGGCATTTTAAATGGACAAATTAAACGGATTTTTTTCTCTCACTAACTAGAATTCGCTTTGTTTACACGGACACCGGAAATCGTGAAGGACCGGGTAATACGGCGCCACCTGGACAGGACCGATAACTCGCTATTCTTTGCCATTATAGTAACGTACAGGTCAGTGCAGTATACAAACAAACACAGATACAAGTAACTAGAAAAAAAATGTAAACAAAGGTAATGCAAGATAACCAGCATAAACACGAGTCGCCATTCCATGCCTATACTCTTTACAATAAAGCAGTCAGGTGTGACAAATTTGAAGAGTATACAGGGATCTAGAATTACGCTTTCCCGTTGCCCAGGGTGAGTAAAAATCTGTACGGGAAAGTACGATCTCAGGCAGGCACGTAGCATCGTTTTTGAAAGTGGGGGGGCCAACCTTAGAAAATTTTTTTTTTACTTTCCTGAAAAAGTTGACAAGCAAAAAAAAAAAAAAAAAAAAAAAACGAAAATTAAAAGTTGCCAAAACTCGAAAATCCTATTTCGTGGGGGGGGGGGGGGGGGGGGGCGCCGCCAACTTTTTCAAAGCCAACTTACTATCACTTCCAATTTCTTCCTTACGATCCTTGCTATCACTATACTATGGTTATAAAGTCGGGGGGCCAACCATCCTATCAATGAACATTTACTATAGTAAAGGTTATGTTGGGGAAAAAAGTGGGGGGGCCAGGCCCCCCCTGGCCCCCCCGGATGCTACGTCCCTGTCAGGTCATGCTCACCCACTCGGAAAAGTAAAAATAAAAGACAGTAGACACCAATGCTGTTGAGAGTTGTTCTTTTTCACGAGTTTTGATTGAAAATTGAATTAATTTACTTAGACAGTAAGTTGTGTGAAGCGGTAAGAAGCATTTCCCATCAAACAAATTGTACATTATCACTACAGGAAATGCTTGCTTGCTGTATAAATGAAAAACCTAACACGGTACTCTTTCGATTTCCTGGAATAAATATGAATGTGATTTGCGAGCTATATCCATGATGACTTTTGAAATTTAAATGATTAATGTCAGAATTTACGTAATAAATGTATCCACTGAAAAAATAATTTTGACTAAAAAAATTAATAAAATTCCAAACAGCATACAGGGTATTAATATATCTAAATCAACAAGCATTCTGAGAGTATTGCATAAGCAATACATGTCCCCTACAGAGTTCCCCTTTTTCTTCAGGATGTCATTTTATAATAAGCAAAAGTCATGTCAAAGATAAAACTGAAAGATTTTCAAGTTGTAAATGCCTTAAAACTCATAAAATAATCCACATTAAGATGAAAATTTAACTCATTTCTCCACTGTCTTTTCCTCGCTTCATATTTTTGTCGACAATCGGAAGTTAGCGCAGTTCGAACCCGATCTTAATTCAGCGATTATGAAAAATATTCAAAATGCCATAATTCTGTCAAAAATCAATGAAGCGAAGCGAAATTCAAACCTGATCTGTAACTCATTAAGATACACTCACATACCAAAATTCAGCTCAATATCTGCAAGCGTTTAGAAAAAAAGTGTGGAAATCCAAGTGGGACAGACTGACGGGGACAGACAGACGGACAGACAGACAGCTAGACAGATGGACGGACGCAGAGGAAACCTATAGTCCCCCCCGGTTTCACCGGTAGGGGACTAAAAATACAATGCAATATAGCATATTAATATATATAGTATACTATATCAGAGACATAAATAGCATAAATATTTAATTGGAGGAGAGGGATTCATATAATTGAGCCATGGGAAAAATGTAAGCCTGGAAATAGATGTTTGAACATAAAAATCTTAAAATTTGTGATTGTTTTATGTTTTTGTTGGGCAAGTGAATTTTTTAGGCAGGCAAGTGAAATTTATTTTTCACTTGCCCTAGGGCGAGTTTTAAAAAAATTTCTAGATTCCTGGAGTATACGCTGGTGTTGATGTATTGTATATAATGATTTCGAAAATGATGTATGACTATTTACGAGTCATGTTCAACTTTAAATATGCAATGTAAAGCAGAAAAATGTTTCTTTATTTATGTATAGTGACATAATAAAGGTAAAACAGTATAACATCATGTGTATAATAGCAATTTTATTGTATAATTTGGAAAATAAAACATTAATAATAGCGAACGCAGCGAGGCGGCGCGAAGCGCCGCTCGCGTAGCGAGCTCAATAGACTAACGTGTACGGAAATTCAGGTTGAAATCTGCACATTGATCCAAGAAATTTTTATGAGTCCACGTGAAAACATTCTTCAATCCCAACAGTCCTTTGCGGTGCATAGCAACATGGTGGCTAAAACATAGCAACAACTTACTTGAAAAAAATTACAAACAACGATTTAATGCAATTTCCATGCCACAAAACTATCGTTTGCATTCTATCTCAACAGGACTTTTTAATTGACGTCATACATTCGTCACTTAAAAGCTCAGGTATTTCCGATTATGTCGGAAACTTCCGAAAAGTTCGGAATCTCGATCCCGATGTCTGGGAATTGATTTTATTTGTTTTTTTTTTCTTTTCTTCTTTTCTAATGAACTGAGGATAGGTAGTGGAAGTCAAAGCTGTGTAAATGTTTTTGATAGTAATTAAATAACTGCGCTCGCCCCAACGGTCGCACCGTAGAACATATTACAATTAACTGTAGAAATTAATTTTTAAAGACTTCCAAATGCTAGATTTAAATTCCACCATGCTTGTTTTGCTTTTGGACGCAGTTTAAAAAAAACTTTGTAAAGTAAGTATTTATGTCTCTGTCTTCACTAACAAAGAATATATAATCAAGAAAAAAGATATCATTACCCTGTACACTGCTTACTGTAATTAGTAAGTTGATATGTAGGTATAATGAAATAAATCATAATTAATACAATTAAGTTTTATAATAAGAGAGTCTGAGACTATTGAATCTTGTTCATCAAAGTCTTCCCTTAAGGTAAAAAGCATTCCTGGCCCATCTCTTAGTTTATTTAAATTTTTTTTTTTCAAGAAGCACGTGTTCAAATCCACGTCTTTGATTCAAGTTGCAAAATCATGATTACAAAAACACATCGCAGGCGTAAAAATATTCATCTTTTCGTTGTATTCATCTAGTAAGATTATTTTGAAACCCGTCACTGAGAATATCG